TTGAGGTATGCATATCACTAGTTGTACAAGGATAACTAAGAAAACCATATTGTAATAGATCTTCTGCAACCTAATGCGACCAATGAAAATTAGAGAATGAAAGCATCAAATCTCAATCTTTTAACTTCTACAACACATAATAACAAAATGATCATAAACACAGCCGATCCATTTACATAGAAAGGAGCAATGAAAACCAGAACTTTGATTGAGGGGAAGATAATAATAAGCTCCAGAAGCAGCAAGCAGCAAATGCATGATTTACTATCAGTATATGCTACTGTATTAATTACACCAAGGATATATAAACAACAATCTATGGTACAACGGAATAGTACATAACCCACAATCACCTTTATGGTCTGCTCAGAACTCGTCTGGAGGCACATCACAACGGCAGAGCATAGCATCGCCAGCTACTCTGTAAATCCAGTACAAATGAAAAACATGAAACCGACCCTCCCATTGCAGCATCCTTGACTTGCAACTTTATAGCGGAGGCAAAAAATTAAAACGACCTTTAGGATGATTTGGGATGGTTTACTAATTCGGAGGCGACGTGGCGGGAATTCAATCGAGGCATTAAGCTTGGCCTTGGAGATGGGATTGACGACGGACATGTCGCCGATGAGGGTGATTTTGGAGAGGCCATCGGAGTGGGAGACAGAGGAAGTGAAGCTTTGGGTTTGGTTGGTTGTCGATCTTGCTTTCCTTTTTGCTGATTCTGCCGAAAACAAAATGGTTAAATGCAATATTATTTAATCAATGTAATTTATTGTTGTCTGTTAGTTTGGGATAGACGGGTTAAACCATTTGTGGGCCGATTTGTTTTTTTCTCAATTTTAATATAAATCCAATTATCATATCATAGCCATGTGGACCAATTAAAACTTGTGTCATCGGTGCTGTTATTTTTACAGCGGCACCATAGTATTGGCCATTATTATTTGGGTTTGGGAAATACCCATACTGTGCCATCTCTGCTTGCTCTCTATGCTCTCTCCTAGCAGCCCTAAATAAAGATATGTATTTTATCTAAGAGTTATGGATGTGTAAAAGAGCCCACACCGTAAATTGCATGGACTTGGTGAATCATATTAAAACCCTCCTTGTCCTTTTCTGCTTTCCATGGCCTACACATTACACAAAACACAAAATAAAAGCTCCATTTGTCCTCCTTTTGTGCTTTCCACGACCCATGTCAATTAAAATATTGTTTTTACTTAAATTTCCCTTCGTCAACTGTGCAGGAAGGCAGAGAAATTACAATTGAAGGGGTTTTGGAGGTGAATAGTAACTAGCTTTTACTCGACATTTGGCCGAATGAGTTTTCTTTATCCTTTATATTGGTTAATTTATAATTATATTTAAAATATTTTGAATTTACCCATTAGTAAGCGAAGTAATTAACCTTGGATGTGTTTTGCGACACAAGTAAGGCTGGAAGTTTGGTATCAGTATTTGGGATACACCGAATATCGTACCGAATTTGTCAATATTTGGTATTACCGAATACACGTATTATTTCTTGGGATTGGGATTGGGATTGAATTTCAATTGTTATTCAGTATTAGGGATTACGGGATTGTGATCGGTATATACCGAAATATCGATCAATACCGAAATATAAGCTAGTGTGTATTTTATCCTCTGAACTAGACTCTCTCATTCACTACTACATGACCCTCAACTACCAAGAGTGTCATTTAATTATACACAAATCATTCCATCACTATTAATAGTCGTCTCTCAACCTCCAATTCGTCAAATTAAAGATTACAAATGACAAGAACTTGAGATGTCTCCTCTCCTCCATTCTCATTAATAATATCCTAATTCAAGACTCTTTGTTTAGTCCTTTTCCCCTAAATTAAACAATAAAATCTATTTATATATATTTAATTATTAATTGCAAAGGTAATTAATTTTGTATTCGATAATACCGATTGGGATACCGTAGTACCAATTGGGATACCGAAATGTTTAGGAATTGAGATTGGGATACCAAAATTATTTAGGGATTGGGATTGGGATTGACTTTAGGATGTAATTTGATATTCGGGATATCGGTATTTGGTATTGGGATATCAATACCGTACCGATTTCCACCCCTAGACACAGGGTTCGGAGAGTGATTGACATTATTGCCCTTCTAGGGTTGGGGCTATTGAACTCAAAAGTGACTTGGACTGTTTGACCCAATCTAAGGGTGTCGTTATGGTTCCAAGGAAAAACAGTGGTAAAGGATGTTGAGTTGGACATGTTAGAGATGTATTTCACTTATTATTTTAATATGGGGTCCATCCAAAATTTTTGATGAATCTCATTCTTGTGTAATTGTAAATAGGGTTGTTAAACGATTGTCGGTTAGTTGGCTAACTGCAAAACTGAATCGATAACCACGATTAGTCGTCTAACCGGTAACCGTTTAACAGCTGCGGTTAGCGGTGGCGGTTATGGCATTTTGGTGTTGTGGTTAACCGTGCGGTTGTCGGTTTATAATCGATAAACGTAACGGTGCACCGGCTCTTTGCCCACTAAAACCCTCGATCCCAGGTCCTCTCCTTCTTCTTCAAAGTGGTCGGCGACGACTTCCCATGTGGAGAGGGGAAGCGAGGACGACACCCAGCCATGGGACTGCCGACCTCCACATCCTCAATCGCCCCCTGCCTGACTTCCTCATCCCTTTTCTTCGAACACTTACTCCTTCCCTTATGCCGATTCGCCTTGCTCCACCCATTTGGAGTTTCGATCCATTCCAGATCATAGACAATCGACAACCTCCAGCAAAGAACCCTAATTAACAAACCCCATCTCCAGCGTCCAACAAAACTGAATCGGCGGGCAATCCAATTGTTCCCCTGTTTTATCTCATCACCCGCAGCGTGAATCCCCATCGTTGCCAGCTCGTCCCACACTCCGCCTGCGCCCAATCAACCTCTTATTCTCGTCCCGTCGTTGTCTCGTCCTCCGCCTTCGTCAGCCCGTCGTCCTTGTCAGAAACAGAGATCTCGTCGTCATGCCTTAAGCTGCCGCTGACGAATTTCTCCGTGAAGCTAGTTGTTGTCGGTTATCAGGTAATCGCCTCACCTAACTGAGGCAAATGGTTACGGTTTTTGGCTAACTGCCAGAGCTTGCGACGGCAGTTGCTAATTTTTGCTCTTCTTCGGCCTCGGCTACCGACTTTGCTATGCGTTTAAAACCGAAATCGCACCACTAACTGCCCTAATTGTAAATAAAATCCAACAAAATCAAACTAATGATCAACTCAATTATTACACATGTCGTCAATAAATTTATCTTGTGAAAATTACTCTTCGCCAAAGACTGTCTTCTGATGGCTGGTTTACTTCTATCCATGAATGGTCCAATTGAGCTTCCCTCAGCCAGCATGAACCCCACAAGAAAAATCTGTCAAAAGAGAAGTGAGTTAGTTTCAATTTCGTAACCCTCAACATAGTGATAACGATCACACCATCATATAGAATCGATTAGTGGCATTCAATAAAGTATTCAAGTGTTCAGCATGAATGGCGGCAATAGGACGTAGGAATTGAACATTGCTGAAGAATTTGTGGAGAAGTCTCTTAATCCCAACTCAATAAACTCAAACAAAGTATATGAAGCCCTCTTACCGCCCCAACTTCCTCATATGATCACATATACCATATAACTAACAACTATAGTGGGTTAATTCACATATACTGGAAAGTTGCAGAATCGTTTCTTCTGGCAACTTCTTTAAACATCATCAGCAGTTCATGCACAGAAAATATGCATAAGCTTCAGTACCGCTACGACACATATCCATCCCCATAGATACAATTCAACATTACAATTGACAAACAAAATCCAGGACTGTCCTAAAACAAGACACTTCCAATCTAGTTCCGCCACAAGGAGGCATCCTGGTCACCATTCGAAGATGGAAACGCGAGATCCCAAACAATTCAATGATTGGATAGAGTTTTGTGCGCTCCATGCTATTTGTTGGCAGGTTTGGTTAGAAAGGAACAATCGTATTTTCTAAGACACCAACAACAATGTTAGAGTAGTGTTCCTTAAAGCGACCAGAGCTTCGGTCGAGTGGCTGGCTGCGCATAAGAAGATAAATAGAGATTAAAGTATTGACTGGTTGAGATCACAACTTTCTTTTCAGAATTCGGGTTGCCGGTCCTGGTTGTTGCCCACTTGTGTTGGCATGGATCGGCTGTGGTTTTGTGTTAGAGTGCTTAGCTGTGTTTGTTGGCCTCTTTTGTGGTTTATTGTTTTCTGATTTCAGTGATGTTGTTCTTTTTTTTTTTAGATACAGAGGTCTTTGGGCAGGCTTATCTCTTTTTTTTTTTTTCTTTTCTCCTTTTCCTTTTCCGTTCCTTCATTCTGGTCGAGAGCACTTCTTGTGTTGTGGCCTTTGTGCTGCTGTTGGTTTTTTGTGTCTTTCTGTTGTGAGTTTGTTGTACTTGAGACTGTTTCTGGTGTTTTCTTTTTGGGTAAATACAATTTAATAGCCAAACCTTTTCAAAAATAATTTCATAGTCAAATCGTCAACTTTCCATCCGGTCAACTATTAGTTGACTCTGACGTGATCACCTCCTCATGACGTGGCAAAAAACAATTTATTTTACTATGACATACTTCTAAGTTTTAACTAATTCTTATTATTTGCAAAAAAAAATAAAAAAAAATAAAAATAATGCACCCCACCTCTCCTAGTGCTCTGTCATCGTCCATCTCCCCCGCTCCATTCTCGGTGGATAGCATTGATGGAAGCGCATCTCAAAGGAGCAAAGTGAGCAGTAGCAAATCGATTCTTCCAATACAAGTTAACGAGTTCAAGCTTCGTCTTTCTAACTATAAGGAGCACCCGAAGATCAATGACGTCGGCGATAGGGAAACGGTGGCGAGAAGGGAGGAGATGTCGGCGGAGGAAGGGATGGCGACAACAACGACGCCAAATTCAGAACGACGACTCCCATTGGCGCTTCCCTCCTGGCTGATTCGCCTTCTTCCTCTGCATGTTCTCTTTCTCTGCCTGATCCGCGAGATGATGCAACTAATTAGATTTCAGAGTTTCCTTTCGAGTCCTTCGAAAATAATTAATTCTTGTGAAAGGTGCTCTTCGTCGAAGTTCTGGGTTCCTTTCCTTGTTCCCGATTGAAGGTTTGTCGCTTCTCCCTCTCACCAAAAGAAAATGAACAGATCGGATCTGGAAGAAGAAGAAGCGTACCGGCGAGCGCTTGACGAAGGCAGAAGACAAGCCCTATGAATTTCGACATCCGATTTCCGGAAACCACCACCATCGATTCGAAGACCCAATCGTCATTCTTTCTCCTCACAACCAATGTTTTAGACGAATTTCAGAGACCCAAACACCATTCTTTCTCCTCTTGACCAAAGCAATTAGCAATGGGTCGTCTTTAGTTTTGTAGGAGCTCCGAGGTCAAATACCATCTTCTTCTTATCAAAATAGAGGGAGGGATTCGTTGGAGTTTGGGTACGTTATGTTGTGGCTGGACTGGGTTTAGCCGGATGATAAGGTATAGAAGGAATTAGAGAGAGGGATTCGAACGGGCAAGGCAGAGTTTTAATAGTGGTATTCATAAGATTTTCATTTTCGCCGGCCGATTCTCCATTATCTCCGTCTGCGACAGCCTCGCGTGGGTTCGTGAGATTTGCGCAGAAGTCGGTTGAAGGTTCGATTGCCTCCATTAGAATGAAGATTCGTTGGAGAAGATGGAAACTTTTGGTGGGAATTCTGAAAATCTTGGATAGAGAAGAGGGAAGGGAAGGGATAAGAGAGTAGGATTTTTAAATTTATTATTATTATTTTCTTAAAAGTTAGTTATAATTAATATATATATCTATGTGGCACACTGAAATTATTGAATTTTGGCCATGTTAGTATTTTTTTTTTTTGCCACGTCGTAGTCAACTAACAGTTGACCGGATTGAAGCTGACAGTTTGGCTATTAAATTGTTTTCGAAAAGTTTTGGCTACTATTTTGTTTAAAATGAAAGGTTTGGCTATGACATTGTATTTACCCTTTATTTTTTAATGGCACATCACCTTCATAAAAAAATCAGAAGATCCCTTCAATGGGTCCTCCCTCTCATTTCAGTCGAGAAACTTCGTTCCTTCAGACTCACATATTCTCCTCATCTTCTTTCATTCAAGCAACTTCGTTCCTTCGTTCCTACATCTCTTGCGTTTCCGTGGGGATAGCTTTATTTTTTGCCTTCTTCTGGCTGATCTCAAGTCCCGAAGCATGAAGAAGTTCACGAGACGGATCTAAAAATAAGACTTTTCAAAAACGTGAACCTGCCTCCTTCGTTGTCGTTGTGCCTGGGCTGCGAGGGCTCTCATCAATGTGGATAGTTCAATGTGCTCATCAACGCCTAACCCAGGGATGTGGATCATCCAAGGCACATTAGCATAGCATATTTCTCCTGCTCGAACCGGGGTTTGAAACCAAACTTCTACTAAGGAGGATAGATGTGGAGAATCAGGTGAGATTTGACGTAAATCCAACTTTCTATTCACTCGTTGGATCAAGACGGTCTGGGAGATAACTCGACCCAATACGATCCGTTGCTTTCACATTCGCTAGTTGAGATTTGGAAATTCAAGTGGTTGAATTATTTGGCTTTTTCACCAAAACACTTTCGAAAACACGCTTCCTATTTTAAAATAATATATTTATATTTTTTTTAATGACGAGGAACACCCGGTCACTACCTTTGGTGATGCCGTAGTCGGGCCAAATCTCGAGACCTCCGCCAGCAGTCCGAGCAAATGCGAGGTGCCTCCGCAAACAACATGACAGCAGTGAGGATCGAACCTGGGACCTCTCGGCCACCAGTCCGCCTCCCTTACCATTTAAAATAATATATTTTCCTTAATAATCATTGTTGTTGACATAATGTTGTTAATTATAAGACAAATGTTATCAGCACAAACGCTTAAGGCTTAATGAACAGCACGTCTCTAATTATTCTTCTTCTCTTTGATCAAAACCTCAATTCTAAATTGTTTGATTTACAGTTATAGAGGTGGCGCAAAGACCAATATTATCACTTAATCATTACCAATCATGTCAGCTCATCGCGGAGTTCAAAACAACTACAATATTGTTCATTACCAATCTTGGTAGAAATATTTAATCAAAGTTTAATTTTGAGTTGTTCTCCCACCAACATTGTTGTTTCTCTTATTTGATTCCCTTCATATATATAGAACAGATAATCGAGAACAGTTTAATTAAATGAAGATTCATTGTGAACTAGTTAACAAATAAATAAAACAAGGTCATCGGTTTCCTTTTAATTGTTTGGTTTAAGATTAGATTAATAATAGTTAGGGAGAACAATATTTTACCTTTTTTTGCCAAATGTATCCCAAAAAGAATAGCAAGATACGATATAATACAATGGACAATAAAAAATAGAAGAAGTAAAGGGATGTTGGTTGACTAGAAGCCGAACCAATGATAAGAGAGTCTTTTAATTAGCCACGACATGGGGAGCTCTGTTATATCTACAAGGCACGAAATGAAACGAGACATGATGGAATGAGGAGGTCAGAACAAGAATCTCTCTAAAGATTGCTCTCCCCAAAACGTGTGACGAATCCTTCACATTGACTATCTAAATGATCACCTGCATGCGCATCACCACGAAACGCAGCATTAGAAAGGGAGAGAAAAAGATACCAAGGAATTGTGTCCCTAGCTCCATGAATTTTATATAAAAACAAGGGTAACTAAATTGTAAAACCATATGCGACTCAATCAAATCCAACACAGAAAGCCTAATCGCCAAGAAGGAAAAGGCAAGTCAACCAAGAACCGAGATATGGAGTAGTCATACCCAGTGCTGTCAAAATCACACTTTAAAACTTAAAAGCTTACGCTTTTACCTGTTTGGGTCACCAAAACGCTTCTACATATAATCGTGATTTGCCCTTACAAATGTAGTCAAAATCTACGTTTTAAAACTTAAAACCTTATGATTTTACACTTCTAAGTCATCCAACCGCTTCTATGGAGAATCACGCTTTTGACTGCATTGGTTATACGACGATAATATGAATATTTGAAAATTCTATGCATCTAATCGCGATTCCAAATCCTCAAAATTTCCCTCCGGTTGCTTCCGATTCAAATCGTAAAAAAGTAAAGCAGGCAGAAAAAATAGAAAAATAAGTATCATTAAAATGTCGAAGAATATTAATAATATCTGGAGAACTCCAGCTCAGATAGTCTCATGCAAACAAGGTTGTCAAACCGGTTTATGCCAGTGTGCCGGTTTAGCAAGTGAAATGTTTCGACCGGTGGCACATACCGGATTGTACCGGTTTATGCCGGTCAATATTACAAATAAAATTATAAATACTCATATTTAAACATGACATTTATCGTCAATACCTAAACATTTATACTTGAATCCAACAAATAACATCAATATTTAACTTTTATACTCATAAAATAAATAATATAGTATTTTTTATCAATTAAATTCACTAAAATAAGGTCATTTTACTTAGAGATTCGTATATCGATCATGCCGGTCATACCGGTAGTGTCACGCCGGTTTTATGACCGGTATCGATTGAACCAGGTACAACCGGTGGCACGCCGGCCGGCGTGACAACCATGCATGCAATATATATATATATATGGTGGCTTCTATGGTACCCCGGGTGAAATCCAGGGTACTGTATACCTTGAGTATGAAAACACTATCTAGACCTCGAATTAGCAGAATTTTTGGGCTTGATACTATACCCTAACCCTTAATGAGTGAACCCTAGGTCCTAATTATCTAAATCATAAACTATAAACCCTAAGATGAAGCATTCATCTTTTTGCCTATATTTGGACGAATAATAGCCATCGATTCTTGTTTCTAATTAAATTGATCTTGGGGTATAAGATTTAGAGAACTAAGACCTAGATTTTGATCTTTAAGAGTTAGAGTATGACATCATGTCCAAAAGATCAATCAATTCAAGGTCTAGATAGCGTTTTCATACTCAAGGTATGCGGTACCCCGGATTTCACCCTGGGTACCGTAGAACTCACCATATATATATATATATATATGTGACCCCTATATGGTAATGACTGGTGTACGTCAGACATATACTATACGTCAGGTGATCTAACCGTTAGATGTACTTAGATGAGCTCCGGCCGATCTCAACGGTCAATTTTTCTTTTTCATTAAATCAAACTTCGGGTTGGGGTTTAGAAAATCGGTGCCTAGGGTTTATCCATTAGAGGTTAGGGTATAGTATCATACCCCAAACTCGATTTAATTCATGGTCTAGATTAGAGATATCTCACTAGTAGTACCTGGTGTTTAGTATATATATGAGTAAATATAATCTATTAGTCAAACTTTTAGAATTTTTCAAATTATTAGCTAAATCTTTCAAAATATAAAATATTCGTCAAATGTTAACTTCTCGTTAACAGTTTTGTTAGTAATATTGACTTATCAACATAGTGCTGGTTTGTAAGAGAAACGTGACCGTCAACATTCCAAAATTTTAGTATTTTAAATAATAATAAAATTAAAAATTATTAATGGTAACAGAAAAATGAATAATAATTAATGCGTTACAAAATATTTAACTGATAATTTTTACTCCGAAAAATTTTGCTAATAATTTAAAAAGATTGATAGTTGGGCCAGTAAATAGTATTTATCCTAAAAATATTTTGGACTTTGCTATGGGGACATGCATGTCACAGTGACATGCACTTTTCGGTCGACCTCATATAGGATCAGGTCGACCTAATCTGTTGTTTCAGTGTAAAAACAGTTTCATGGTGCCTACTTTGGAGATTCATATCTTACCATTGGCTAGATGGAAATTGGAGATTAAAGCCTTGTTTTGAAGCTGAAGTGTCCCTCTACACATTAAAGTACTTGGGAGCTCAATAGAAAGTCCAGAAGACCATTTTTGAACCTGACCAAAAGGCTATGCCAAAACTGGGAAACTGCCTGAAAATGACTTAAGTCTGGCAACGTGTTTGTCAAGCCTACTTTGGAGCTCAATTTGAGAAGCATGGATGCGAGTCAAGTCCAGGGGCCTCTACCACGTTAAATTACGTATTTTTTTTATACAAAGGCAAGGCATTGGATGAAAGATTGAATATCTTTAAGGCTTCAAACAAAAGGCTCGAAGTTGCTACGAATGCTGTATTTCTGGCAGCTTGCTTGTGCTCGAAGTTTGCCAGAAAACAGTCTTCGTAGCAACTTCGACCCTTTTGTTTGAAGCCTTACAGATATCCAATATTTCATCCAATGCCTTGAATTTGTATAAAAACATACCTAATTTAACGTGGTAGAGGCTCCTGGACTCGACTCGCATTCATGCTTCTCGAATTGAGCTCCAAAATAGGCTTCACAAACACGTTTCCAGACTTAGCCATTTCCAGGCAGTTTCCCAGTTTTGGCATAGCCTTTTGATGAGGTTCAAAAATGGTCTTCTGGACTTCCTATCGAGCTCTCAATCACTTCAATATGTAGAGGGGGACTCCAGCTTCAAAACAAGTCATTAGTCTTCAATTTCTATCTAGCCAATTGTATGATATGAATATCCAAAGTAGGCACCATGAACTGTTTTTACACTGAAACAACAGATTAGGTCGACCTGATCCTATATGAGGTCGACCTAATCCTAAATGAGGTCGACCAGATCATATATGAGGTCGACCGAATTCTAAATGAGGTCGACCTAATCCTAACTGAGGTCGACCGGAAAGTGCAAGTCACCGTGACATGCATGTCACCATAGGCACACCCAAATATTTTTACATCCGCGTATCTGTAAACACAGCGAATATTTTCTGACATCAAACAAAATTAATCAATATTGTTTTAGTTACCGACATTTTATTGGCACCGAATTTTATGTTTGACAGGTCAGAATATGCAGTTCCTTTCAAATAAATTTTGTCAGAAGATATGCCTATTGAGTTGTACAGATTAGCTAATTGCATAAATAAAATATATGTTATTAAGTTTTATTTGGAAATAATTGTTTTCCCTTTCTTTGAACTTCTCCGTTGATATTCATCCTTTTCTCCACCTAATTGTGATTAGACTAACAACTGAATATTTTATATTTATACTTCGCAGAACAAAATTTCCGACTCTGCAATTTTTTTAATGATTTGAGAGAAAACCCTATAATAACTAACGAAAACTAAATTGTAACTCGTAAGTCCCCTAAGATTGTATACTAGGATTTCATCGTTTAAATTCATCATCTCATTAGGTTCTCTAAGATCTTGCATTTCAAAAAAATTGTAAATTATAAGTCGTATTACTAGGATCTTGTACTCATATGATGAAAGGTTTCATTGTTTATATTCATCATCTCATTAGGATTCTCTCAAAAACATTTTCACCCCTATAACGAAATCCCTCTTTACAAATAATGATTAATGGGTAGACTGATTCCTAAGACAAGATGATTCTTGACTATCTACCGGCCAAAAGAACTTTTAAAATGTTTGTGAAACCGTACCATACTTGCAGTCTAATAAGAAAAGCCTCCTACAGGAGGCTAAAGCATAGACAATTCTTTTGTAGCATGAAACGATTGAACCAAATTTCAACACAAAACACCATACCACTAACTTTTCCGGCACAATTTTTCGTATAATTTTACAATCCTTGAAAAAAAGTTGCTACCTACATTTGAAAAAAATTACCTAATAGTATCGGTCCTTTTAGTAGGTGTCCAATTTATTTTTACGACAAAAGTATAATTTCATGTATCAATCAAAAGAAGCTCAATTCTTGTATTAATTTCTTCACTTTCCTATCTGTTCTGTTTCTCTTTTGTCCATCTCACACCTACAAGCCTACAACAATGAAACCCATCTTCCTGTCTCCATTTCCAGATCGGAAAATGGGTCACAAAAATAAAAAAAAAACGTTTCATCCTCCCTCTTCAGTCTTCACTCAAACAAAGAAGAAGAAAAAACCCTAACAAATCACGACCGTTCATCATCACAATCTGCGGCTCATCAAGCCATAGACGGTGGCTAGACCCAAAACCAACGAACGGTCCACCCCCGGCCGAACCACCAACGTCAGCACGTCGCTTCCCAACAACACTCCCCTCCTCCCCGCCGTCGACGTCGACTGCTTCCTCTTCGCCTCCGCCACCACTCCCCCGCTAACCACGTCCGTTATCTTAAACGCCGTCAGCTTCCCACCAGACGACGCCTCCATCTTATACCGACCGTCGCAACTCACGACCTCGCAACACAAACCCGTAGCGAATAACCTCTTCGTCCTCCTCGCGACGCTAAACGACGCCGTCTCCTCGTCGCGTCTGTAGCCCTTCCACGTTCTTGATAAAAACGGGCACAATAGTAAGGAAGCCGTTCTGAGGATTGTGAAGACGAGATTGCCCTTGAGATCCATGAGGCACACCTCGCGGCCGCCCTTCTTCTGGTAGTTGTCGACCCGGTACACGACGGCGCCGTTTTGGTCGTAGATGGTGCAGCCGTTGCCGTTCATCACCAGGGACTTCATCCACATGGTGAACGTCTCCGTCGTCGAAGTGACGTCGCGTGAAGGTGAGGCTGTAGCGGCGGCCGCGGCGGCGGAGGAGGTGGAGAAGATGGGATGTATTTTGCCCATTTGAAACGTGATATGATGTTGATGTTGAACTTGTACGCGTATTGTGTTTTTTGCTTGACAATGGCGGGAGAGAGCTGAGGAGGCGCGCTGGGGAAGGTGAGAGGTTGTGGTGTGGAGATTGAAGAGAGGAAGAGAAGGAAGGTTGTTATATATATATATATGCGAGGGGAAGAGGGAGGGGATTAATGAATTGCAGGGATATTAATGGAGGGAGGGAATCTTACGTGTGGACTGACTTTGTGGGGTTATGTTGTTCAGTGCAATTGAATATTAATACCCTTCATGTTTTGGCATGTATTTATGACGACTTCCTACTGTGTTGTAAATGTATGTATAATTTTTTTTAGAGAGTAAATGTATCAACAAATGTATGTATATGGGTGTGTGACTATACATTATTTAATAATCTTTTGTATTAGATTGATCTTCGAGTTTGGGTTTAGAGAAACAGGACACTGAATTTTTCTATTAAAAGTTAGGGTATAGTATTATACTCAAAATTTGATTTGATATATAGTCTAAATAAAGACATCTCACTACAGGTGCTTGTAATATCGTATAATGATATGTTATTGTGTCAATAGATATATTTATGTGTTGAAATATATTACTTTGTGTACTTGTTTGAAATTAGCCAGTTGTCTTTGTACATATAAATACGTAAGCATGTATAACCTGTAAAACCCTAACGAAAATAAGAATTTACTCTTGGAGAGTTCTATCTCTCCCGTGGACTAGTCCTGATCATCAGGGAAACCACGTTAAATCCTTGTGTTCTTTAGTTTTTATATGCAAATTGTCATGGTATCAGAGCACTGATCCGTTCGTTTGGTGGTTTTTTTGTAGCACGTTTGTTACAACTTTGGTCGTGTGTTCTTGCGGTTGGCGGCGCTGGATTTGGTCCTTGCTGCGTTTGGGGATTGTGCAAGATTCTGCTGGTTCCTTTGCTTCGGCTGTATTGGTGCTCATTGTGGGAGCCGGGAGGTTCTATTTGGCTAACTCTACGGGTCTTCATCGTTGGCGTGATCTTGTTTGATTTGGCGCGTGTCGTCATTGATTCCTCTAAGCTTGATTCGGTTTCCATCAAATTTGATGGTAAGAATTTTCCGTTGTGGGAGTTTCAATTCAGAAACTTTGCTGTTGGGAAGCGTCTTTTGGGCGTTCTGACGGGTGCAACTAAGGCTCCTGGTGTGGACGCATCGGACCAGGCGCAGGCTGATTGGGCGGCTTGGAACGCTCAGTTGATTTCTTTGCTGGTCGGTAGTGTGGATGTCGCTATGGGACTGAGTTTGCGTCGCTATACTACAGCTGCGGAGATGTGGGCGCATATCTCTCGTACCCACTCACAAAACAGTGTATCTCAGCAGTTTGAGCTTGAGATTGAGATGGGTCGTTTGGCTCAAGGGGATCGAGATATTCGGGGATTCTATCAGGTAAGTTTGCACTTATGGACTGAGTATGATTTGTTGTCAGCCTCCCTTGTCACTGGGGCCGAATCTGATGCTATTTTGAAAGAACGAACGGGGTGATGCAATTTCTTGCCAAATTGCGCCCGGAGTTTGAGCCCATTCGAGCTTCTTTGATTCACCGCGGGGTTACTGTTATTGAGGATGTGTTGGGTGAGTTACTTAAAGAAGAAACACGTCTCAAGAGTCAATCTAAGATTGACAATGCCACCTCTTCTGATGCGGCATTTGCGGTGGGCCGATCTAGTTCCTCCTCCCGACCTCAGTTTACTCGGCCACCAACCGGAGATGTGATCTGCCATTTCTGTCATGAAGGGGGACATCTTCAAATTCATTATAAGAAGAGGAATTTTTGCAACTATTTCAAAAAGGCTGGTCATATTGTCTTGGAATGCCCTACCTTAACTCGTCGTGGTAAAGTACGTTATCCCTCAAGTGGCTCTTCGTCGACTTCGGCCTATGCGGTGACTAGAAGTGGTGCTGCCTCCGATGGGTCTGTCCCGGCCTCTTCAGCAACACTGGTAGCTATGCCATCATCCCAGCCATTCTCATCGGATTCTGGTACAGGAGGCGCTCAATGAAGCATTGCCATCTGCTTTTACTTCCGCTTTCTCTACAGGCGTAGCTTCAGGTAAACCCATTCGTTAGCTTCTTGACTCGACCGCACTTAATCATATGACCCTTGATAGTACATCGTTTACACATTTACGTGACCCTCCTGATCTTCAACTTCAAGTAGCTAATGGTGCTCGTATATCAGTGGCGGGTTGTGGTACTTCCTCGTCTGGTTCTGTTACTCTACCTGACACGTTCTTGGTTCCATCATTACAGCCTAGCTTAGCTTCGGTGGGTCAGTTGGCTGAGGACGGCTGTGAGGTTATCTTTAATAAGCAGGGTTGTGTTGTGCAGGATCCGCAGACGGGGAAGGTTCTCGGGTAAGGAAGTAAACGTGGCCGTGTTTTTTTCCTTTATGAAATGCAAGCATCAAGGCGTTCTGGGGAGGGCTGTTCGTTGCTTGGTGCTACTGTTCGGCCGAAGGGAGGGAGTTTGGCGTTGGAGACCTATGGATGTCCAAATAATTTGTCAGCTGATAGTTTATTAGATGAGCAATATGCTCAATTTGAGACCTTTGATTTGTTGGAGGAAGAAATTGATTCTCCTCAGATGTTGTCACAAGGATTGTTTGGTTTTTCAGTTCGCCCATTGGATTTTTCAGTTAAAGCCTCGATTTTGGATTTATGGCATCGTCGGTTAGGACATCCACACTCAGGTCGTTTGACCTCTATGTTTCGCCAGAATTTGTTGCCCGATAAATTTGATCCCGCTTTTGCTACTCATTCTCCGTGTGTAAGCTGTATTGAGGCAAAGATGTCTCAGATATCCTTTTCGCCAAGCACAACAGTTTATGAGAATTCTATTGATCTTGTGCGTACGGATTTATGGGGGCCATCACCAGTGACCTCACGTGTGGGATATCGTTATTTCGCATTATTTATTGATCATGCTAGTCGGTTTACATGGGTGTTTTTCCTTCGACAGAAGTATGAGTTGGTGAATTTTGATAAAGAATTCGTGCAGATGGTTAAGACACAGTTTGCTAAAAATGTGAAGGTACTGCGATCAGATCCCGGCGGTGAGTTCACATCTAATGAACTACTTGTGTTTTACAAGGAGGAAGGGATTCTTTCTCAGGAATCCTATCCTGGAGTTTCTCAACATAATGGAGTTGTAGAACCCAAGAACCGACATGTTCTTGAGCTCACTCGAGCACTTTTGTTTCATTCTGGAGTTCCCAATCGATTATGGGTTGAGGCTATTCAGACTGTGGTATATCTTATCAACAGGCAGATTACGCTTGTGTTGGATCAATGTTCTCCATACCAGACTTTATACGATAAGATGCCCGATTACTCTACATTGCGGGTTTTTGGCTGCGTATGTTTTGTATTACTCCCTCGCAGAGAACGTCATAAGCTTGCTCCGAAGACAGCTCGGTGTGTTTTTCTAGGCTACAGTTCTAAGCATAAGGGTTATCTATGCTATGATCCGACGGATCGTCGTATGAGAATTGCGTGTCATGTTGTCTTCCTTGAGCAAGTTATGTATTATTCAATGAATAGGGATGAGTTGCCGGTTGAAGAATCTCTGGATTTTCTGCTTCCTTTGCCTTCTTTTGGTTCCGACGTTACCAATCCGCCCCATGTAGCCACGTCCGGTGCGACGTCCTCCTCTATTGGGTCAAGTGATGATTCTTCCTCTCATTTGTCTTCGACTGAGGATAGTCCTCCATCTACGCCAGGCAATGTGTTGCACTCTTCTTCTTCTGAATCAGGATATTCTTCGACAAGCAGTAGTGGGTCTTCGAGTTCTCTTGGGTCGACTGGTTCCTCATCAGCAAGTAGTGCTTCACACTTCTCTGAACTGCCGAGCCCGCCTACCCAGGCATTAGTTCCCTTGCGACGATCCAATCGTGCCAATTTGGGACAACCCCCCGTTCGAATGCAAGATTATGTGGGATTTTCTACTACTCCCATTATGATATCGTCTAGCTATGCTCAGGCGAAGGATGATTCGCGCTGGCAGGGGGCGATGAAGGATGAGACTGATGCTTTTGAAGCCAATCACACGTGGGACTTAGTTCCTCGCACACCCGAGATGTCTGTGATCGACAGCCATTGGGTTTACACTATAAATATGCTTTCTGATGGTACTCTTGAGCGCTTCAAGGCTCGCGTAGTAGCTCAAGGTTTCAAACCGGAATACAACATCGATTATGAAGAAACATTTGCTCCGGTTGTAAAAATGCAAACTGTTCGGTGTGTTTTTGCTGTTGCAGCTATGAGGGGTTGGCCTCTGATCCAGCTAGATGTACACTATGTTTGTTTTGAGGGGTAAATGGGAATCCCAAAAAATTTGTACCTATTTGGATAATTATCAACAGTAGGTGGGGGGGGGGGGGGGGTGCATTAAAGGGGTAATGACACTGTTTTACTTAACCCCCCAATTTGGGGCGGAAGGAAGGGAAGCAAAAAATTATTTGCTTTTACATTTTTTTTTCTCCTCCCCACTTTTATTTTCTACGGTTCTTCTTTTCTATTTTACTTTGTTCTCTTCCATCTCTCTTCTGCCATTCATTGCGAAAGACCAACCCATCCCACCCAAACAAATTCTAAATATATATTATTTATATATTTAATTTTACAATAATTATTTTTTATATATTTATAACTGTTAAACGTAACATTCGGTTAGAGACGAAGTAAAATATCCGTACGTATTTTATACACAACTTTCGCGTACCGTATTTTACTACCTATGTATAATACAACATTAATATTATTATATTTACTCTTTATATATAATAATCTAAAACTCTTTTTTACATCATTTTGCACCCCCCTACTTTTTCATCCAAACAACAAATTTACCCCTCCACTTGCACCCTTCTGCAATTTGTACCCCCCAGCAATTTGCACCTCAACTTGCACCCTCCTGCAATTTTCACCCCCTTGTTGCCAAACAGAGCGGTAAAGA